TCTCTCTCTCTCTCTCTCTCTCTCTCTCTCTCTCTCTCTCTCTCTCTCTCTCTCTCCCTGAGAGAGAGAGAGAGAGAGAGAGAGAGAGAGAGAGAGAGAGAGAGAGAGAGAGAGAGAGAGAGAGAGAGAGAGAGAGAGAGAAAGATGCAAACAAGTAGTCAGAACACAGGGAGACGCCCACAAATCAGATGAAATCTAATTTTCATACCGAATTCGCATCTCATCATGTTCCCACGGGAATATAATCTGGCTTGGCCTGCCGAGGAGTAAGCCTTGCTGCACATCTCTACTAATACTTTTTCAAGATGCCGAGAACTTATCATGCATCTGACCAGCATGCAGTGTTATCCCTCGCGTTCAAAAGCCATCTGACCTATCACACGCGCGCGCCTGACGTTTGAGACCATCTGCTGTCACGGTCCGCCTGGCTCCCCGACAGGAAGTCTGCAGCATTTCGCCGTCGACGCCTGGCCGGTGTTCGAGGCGAACGGCGCCATTCACGTGTGGCACCACGCCGAGGGGGAGCCGCCCTCCTGGCACCCGCCCATACACCCGCACATTGCCAGCGGACGCTACAAGTTCTGCGGCCGCTCCGAGCATACGGTGTTTGCCCATATCCAGGTGGGTGGGGCGAGGGACACCTAAGGTGCGTCCACTTTCGGTTGGGATGTGATGGCGCGTGCGAGCGTCCGGGGTCGATTGAGGGGTGTTGTGTACAGTAGATTCTCTTTGTTATATCTCGCATGTGCAACGAATCGTCATTTCATGCGGCCACAGATATTGCGTTGTGAAGTTTGTGAATGTTTCTACGTGGCTTGGGCCTCAAAAGTTGCGTCTGTAATGAAAGGAAACATTGAAGCCTGCTGTAGGTTTAGAGAATTCTCCCTCTCCCTCGTCATATTTCGCCGGTTTCTACGAAGCGGTTTGAAGCAGATCATTAAACTTTCCTGCTTTTTCCTCGACGCATCTTTCCAACGAATTGTGTCAAAATTTTGCTGGTACATGACATGTTTAGCGGCATTTCCAGAGTATAGCATTGGGGTGACTTCCAGCAAACTCCGGCAATCATGTCAAGATGGTGCCGTTTACAGCAGTAACTGATACTTTCGGTGAATAAAACATCGCATAATAGGCATCGTTATCGCCATATAGCAAAACTAGTGCGGCAGAAGCCGTTCCGAGATTCAGAAAACGGGAGTTTTTGGGCGGCGCGAAGTGCATTACGGATTACTGATGTAGAGCGGATATTTCTCTGTGTGTAAAGCCTTGCACTTCCGCCCTTACTTATATAACTATTTGCGCAATTATTTGATACATCCGGTGATAAAAACGTGTCAGGTTTCGCGACATTGGCTACCGAGGACCATAACCTCAAACTGATGCATGCACTACGGTGCTATACATTGACAGTGTTGGGAAACATTCGCACGCTAGAAGATGGAGGAAGGGTAATATATATTTTGCACGTAGGTGCCTCCAGGGTCAGTGTAAGGGAAATGGAATTATGCAACCTGGAGCCTGGCTGACTTTAACGATGCATTGGATTCCACTCCTTACTTTTGTACAAAAGCCAGCATATCAAATATTGGTGTCACAAGGGAGTCCAGGAAGGGTGGGATTGCAATACATGGAGCTAAGTACACGGAGACCGTGGCCACTAACAGCAGGCTGCCGAGGACGCTGCGACCACTCTTCAATCATGTGCCTCTGCTCTGCATTCTTCGGAGAACTAAATACGCCTATGGGCGCAATCTAAAATGTCATAAAAGCACTTAGCCTTGTTTGCAAGTCTGCATTACCTTTATGAGAATGAAGTGAAACCTATGCTTACTAAAGAAAGCTTAACTCACCTTAATTTGCATTATTGCAGCCGATAATGAGATATGATAACTTCTCAGCCTTTGTTGTCCTCCATTCCAATAGTCGCTATGGCTGTACACATGCCTAAATTGTGGCCTGAATCAGTTTTTATACGTCTTACAACAAATCAAACAACCATTCCGCTGCTCTCCATGCTTCCAGAAAAGTCCTGTGTTTACAAGTTTTGTTTTCAGTCCATTTTGCAGCGCAGAAATGCTTTCAATAATTTTTTGTTTCGAGATATTTTCATCAAAGTTATTGGACGAAACATCAGCGTGTACGACGTAAAAGCATGTTTGTAGGGAGTGATGAGTCATTCGCCAATTGCCCTTCGTGACACAGATCGGCCGGATGCCAGCTGCGCAAACTATTTCAATTTTGGAATATTTATTGGTAACCCAATGTTACCAAATATTAACAAAGAACATTTCAATCAGAATGCAACCTTTGGCACAAACTGGATAACTTATGTCTGTCGTCCTGAAGCCGGTTGGATTCCTCTTCCACGAATCTTGGGAAAGGTCTTGAACCTGGCTGCTACCTGCGGTGTAGAGGCCGTCATAGGACTGGTAAACCCATATCCATCGGCACGAAGCGGGTTAGTCCACAAGTTGATAACCAATCTGGGAAGACCATATGTACAGGTTCGGCCACTAAAATGAAGCTCACAATATAAGCTACAAGTACGACTACAGGCACAGAGAATACTGCCTGTTTTCTAGCCTGCCAGTGGTCCAATGCTCACATTAGTCTGTCCATCAAGCCTGGTCGTCAAAAATGAGGTTTTAATATTATGGAATAGTAATGCATGTAACATAATTCGAACAACTGAAGTTTAACAGCCTGTTTAGGACTCAAAATTAAATTGACAGCGCTGACACTACCTCAGCAATAGTGTCAAGCGATGTTTAACAATTTGTTCAGCAAGACAGCAAGCAAAAACTAAGATTTGTTGTGACAACTTTTAAAAACCGAATAACGATCATACATATAACGGTCATCATGTTTTATCATTAGTTTGCATCATTTATCAGGTATTATGTATGCACCTAATTTTGCAGATTAATAATGCACCCAACATGCAATGCGGCAGCAAAGCATGAAACGCTGAGGTACTACACATACAAAATTGCTGCAGCTCACCCAAGGTCCTTATGCAGTCACTTCATGGCTAAAAGAGCTGTCAATCAAAAGGAATTAGCCAGAAATATTATTATCAACTATTACTAAAGAATCATGAGCCTACTAGTAGCAAAACAACACACCGAAAACAAGCAGGGGACTCATGCTATTAGGTCTGAGGTATTTTTCGCGGCTGTGAAATTTGTCTTCGAATACGGCACTCTAACTAACATCCAACCTTCTGTCCTGAAAAGTTATTAAAATGAGAAGACCACGTAGTTTGTCAATGTTCGTTTTAAACATAGATTAGCCCGATAAACAATAGATAAACATAGATAAACATAGATAAACACAGATTAGCCTACACTTCAACGGGTTTTTAAAATGCATAATCATACCATGCACTACTGGTGACCACCCCATTCCCTCGGGGCATTCTTTCATGCAACCAACAATGAAATCGTTCAATTATTGTTGTGCGCTGTGACGTAGGGAGGATCAAAATCGCGGACGTTAATTTTGAAATGTCATGCACCATGCTTTATTTGATCTTCCATACGAGTGACGTTCAGTTTCACTCCAGCGACATTGCATGCCATTACATGTTTTATACATGTCCACATAGTCTAATGAACGAGACGACAATGAAGCCCCTGTATGATTACAAACAGGATTTAAGCAATTGGTTTAATAGCATTGTCAACGTATTGTGATAGGAAAGTGGAAAATATGTGGGTAACACACCTTTATGTAATAAGCGAAACACATTATATTGGACGTGACGAGTATGCAGTTGATTTAATGCTCACCAATTTGAATATTTTAAGCGGGTTGGTAAGCGAGCAAAGTGTTTAACATCCCAGGCGGGTGTAAGTCAGTGGATAAAGCCTTCATGTCGCAGGAAATCGGTGGGCACCGCGTATGGTTGTACCGGTGCAGTACTGAACTGCTACGAACACCGTAACAGTGAAGAGCTGTGCGGTAGGAGTTGATAAGCCTTGAGGCGAACCACCTGCAGTTTACTAACCGTATGAGGTGTAAGTCCATGAATTTGTTTACCTTTCCGAACCGCCATACAGACGCCTGCAGTTACAATATCTGGGCCCTCTCTAAGCTCATGGTAGCTTCAAGGGCGTGTTTCGAGAAGCATGAATGTCCAGCAGCGTCGCGAAATCGTCAAGTTGTTCCAAAACGTGATTGTCAACGGCCCTTGCGATTGGTTTAGTCATGAACAGCAGGTCATCGCTTTACCGGACCCACGACAGCCATCTGCATTGAGCGGAATCGCACCGGTCGATTCTTATTTTCCCGACCCCGGCCAGAACCCCGAACCTGGTCTGGAAATAACTTTGCCTAAAGTGACACAGTCCTTTCCCTGACCCTGTCCTGACTACGACTACCTGACCCAGCCCGGACTCGGACCACCCTCACCATAACCCTGACCTAACATGAGCTTTACCTGACGACAGGACCTGCCTGAAAACGGTGCGGACAACGCGCACCTAGCTGTTCTTCACGGCAAGATTTTCACGGACGGTAACGACCTGGAGGAAAGGCTGCGCTGGCGCTGGATCCGCCACAACTGGACGGCCACCTGGGAGGCCCACCCCGAGCAGAAGCACCGATTCACTACCCGTATCAGCACCTCCTTCACTGTGCTGAACATGTTCCACGACCTCTACCACAATGACGTTGTTGTGGAGCAGGTGAGGCTGCGAAGACACGAGGTTCTGCTCTGCAAGGATCGGGTCTTGGGAAAGTTAATAGTGATAGCCAGGCGAGTGGCTTACGGAGATGTCAATATGGGATTGCTGGCGTGGGTCTTGTATGTATTGGAAGCTGGCAAACGTTCGATTTGCGTCCTCATGTTTTTTTTTTATTTTGAGCTTTGTGTCTGGCATAACTTGGAGGCTTAGGCGTTAAGGTCAGAGGAATCAAAATTATACTGTTGCCGCTTCGCAGCTGTCATCTGTTCTTGAAATACGTAGCATTCAAGTCAAATGATGCCACAATTTCCGTCCAAGGTGAATTGTGTCATTTGATGTCCCCTTCATCTATATGGCCGTAACTCGGATAATCGCTCATTTACATTCTTCCTTTCAGCGACTGACACATTTGGAAAATGGTTAATAACGTTAACATAAGATATTTGTAAAACTTAGCCGGATTTCATCTTTCGTCTGAACAACACTTACCACATGATTGCAGCCGTAATCCTATATGATGATGTTATTTTTAGCTAAAATGACAACTTTAACGTTTCATGTAATTCTCGCTTGACACTGAATGAACTTTTCAAAGATTATGAACATTGTTGGCGTGTGTCGTATCCCAATTCGCACCCCTTGACCACACAGGCCAGAAAAAAATGACTGGGCTTCGGCTAGACACTTTTTTTGCGTACAGAGTTTGGATGACGAGGTTATGAGTTAGTAGCATTGCATGGTCAGAAAATCTTTGGTGTAAATGAGGTATAAAGCTACATAAGAGAGAGAGAGAGAGAGAGAGAGAGAGAGAGAGAGAGAGAGATATATATATATATATATATATATATATATATATATATATGCCTACCTTAATCATTATGCGCATTATCATTTATATTACGATGTGCTGGATGTTTGGGAAAATGCCTTTGGAAAAACTGAAGGAGAAGCTTGCACCAAACCGGGGGACGATGCTGCCTTGGCCTTCGTAAATATCAAAGTTATGGTCAAAACGTGTTTGCATCGGAACGCTTTGTGCGTTCACTTTTATGAGCCGACAATTTTTTTTTAGATGACTGACTCATCGTCTTTTATACGCATTTTTCAGGTTGGTCCTGGTCTTGTTTATATTGAGTTCAACGCACCCTTCGGCTCTGGAGTCGTGCAACAGATGGTGACACCTGTTGGAGACCTTTGTCAGCGTGTCGTTCATACAATCTACTGGGATCGTTCGTATGGTCTGGGCCCGCTCATCGCCAAGTTTACCTTCCTCGCGGAGGTCACTCAGGTAGGTGGCATAGTTCATCAGTACTTATCTGCCTTTAGTGCATGTGCTGCGCATAACAAGGCTCGTCATTGGGGTTTTCCGACGCACTTAGCGCTGCCGAAGCAGCATGGCGTCGTTGGCCTCTCACTCTGGCAGGAAAGGCGGGCACTGCGTGAAATCGAACCCCGTGCCTCTGGTTTCAAAGAAGCTCAGCGGCAAACGCAGACACGTTAACCACTTCACTATCGGCACCCCTGCGGGTTACAAGGCTCATCATTTTGTTAATCTTGTCTCAAGGGAAGTGGTTTTTATGTGAAAGGCAAACATTGCGTAAAGTTCGTCGTAATCTTCCAGGGCTGGCGTGCATTGTGCCTAGGCCGCAACGTGTTGTTGGCAGCCGCCTGTGGGCCAGCGAATGCTGCGCCGTTTAACACGGCCTCAAACTATCGCCGGTCAATGTTCTAGCTCCGGCCACAAGAAGGCCGGTTAGACGGTGCACTGACTGACCACACGAACGCCACAGTCAGACAGTGCTCGACTCTGGCCATATGAACGCCGGTCAGATAGTGCTCTTTGGTCAGGAGCGCGCCGATCAGACAGTGCTCTGGCTTTGGTCAGACGTGCGCCTGTCAGACAGTGTTCTGGCCTTGGTCAGACGTGTGCCGGTCAGACAGTGCTCTGCCTTCGGTCGGACGTGCGCCGATCAGACAGTGCTCTGGCTTTGGTCAGACGTGCGCCGGTCAGACAGTGCTCTGGCCTTGGTCAGCCGGGCGCCGGTCAGACAGCGCTAGTGACCATGCGTGTAAGGATCGAATATCGATAATGCAGTTTTTTGTCCCGATCACCAGCAATATGTGACTGTGAAAAGAGTTGAAACCTCGAAGAGAGAGGCACAGAGAGCATTCAACCGTTCAAGCAACGCACTAACAGACCGCACGGCGTGCAAGGTTGTTCTAGATGTGGACATTTGTGATCTTTTCCCTCACAAAAGCGACCTTGCTTTGACAGTTTGAGAGAGACGTGCGCATGTGGAACAGCAAGGACCATCTACCGCTGCCGGCCCTTGTGCGCGAGGATGCCACTATCCTCAAGTATCGGCGCTGGTTCTCGCAGTTCTACTCTGAGAACTCGCGCCGACCGCTGCGGCCCGTCGATTCGCTGGAGCTCTGAGCCGGACCAGCTAGAGCTCTGAGCCGGACCAGCTGGAGCTCTGAGCCACCGCCGACGGCGAATGCGTGCTGAACGCTCCAGATGCGCTTCATTGCCGACGCGCCCTCCACTGCCTCTCCTGCTGCTCTGCAGCTGTCTTCGGTTGTCTTTGACTCCCGACTTGAGGTCCGTTCTTTCAGACGCAGCGCGCAGCCGGTCTGTGCTTTCTGTCGGTGGCTCCTGCGACTAAGGTGTGTGGCGGTGTGGATGTCTCCAATGTATGTGCGTATGTATCCAATGTATGCACGTCCAGATATCCTAGCAGGCTCTCATCCGATGACCTGAACTAATACCGCTAGGCTTGTGACGAACTCGTGCAGTGCTGGTGCTCATGACTCATAGATTGGTGTTGAATAGCATTAGTGATAAGGGATGTTCAAACTCATTAGCAGCAAGTCAGGTTTCATATTCATAGGCTGGAGGGATCCAAGCTCGCGTAGGTCACTTCAGGCTTATGCTCAGGTGTAGGTTGTATAGTTTTCTGAAATTCGAAGCTATACATGTGTGTCTTACCCCACGGCCTTTGCGCAAATGTATAAATATGAAAAGATGGTGCGGCTTGTGTCCAAACATAGTAGCGTTCGGGTGAAGTGTGCAAAAATAGCACCTCAGAAATTAGACACAAAAAACTTACTGTGATTTGGAGTAGAAATCTGTCAGTCATGCTCGGCTGGATGCGTAAGAAGTGTGGGTGACATTTTTGTTTTGCTTGATTGGCATTACCGCACCTGCACAATGGTTTTTAACGATGCATTTCCTTGGGGCGTTTTCACCTTTCATTTGAGGGTGGATTTTAGCGCAATTAACAATACAGCTTTTGCGTTGGGTCTTTGTGTCTTTGCACGAGGGCGGATCCAGAACGTCGCCTTGGAGGAATCGAGGGAATCCAATAAGTTATCCTGATTTCCGAAAACTCGTCCATTGCTCTCCTTTTGCCTCAAGGACTGTAAGAAAGCTTCTGTTGGTAAAAAAATGCTTAGATTTTCTTCACAGTCCAGAGAAGTGATTTTTGCCCGACCTGGGCTGTCTTGGGGGAGGGAAACCATAGCCCGGTTTCCCCCATCCCCCCCCCTCCCACCCGCCCTGGATTCGCCCGTGTCATCGTATGCACACTAAAACCCAATGCAAAACCACCTGGCACGCCAAATACCGAACAACACGACAATCGCGTCACGCGTTGATTCATAACCTGCATGGAATGTCATAAGCGCACAGCTGTGTCACTGTGAACGTGTGTGTCACTCATGAGCGTTGATGAATATCAGAAATCAATCAGAGTAAGTAATGCGCCGGGTGCTGCTGTCTACATTGTGTTGTGTACGTAGTTAGCGTTATGTAATAAAGGGAACCTCTACAGTTTGACCATCATTTAATGTCGGTGGTGGACCCATCGAGAGTACCCACGAGAGTAAAATTTATCATGAACGTTAGTACTATATTATCCCTCACTATTCGAGGGGGTCCTTGAAAGGCCTCCCTCCTTACCTGATGACTTCAGAGACTGAAGGGTTCCGGAATACCTCTGAACAGTTTTCAGCGGTGTTAAAATTTGGTGCAGCCTAGGTTGAAAAGATTTCATCCATGCTGAAAGTTTAAACTTGGGTGCTGCACAGTTTATGATCTACGACTTCATTCTTGAGGCCATGTCGTCCAGTCTGCTTCGTCAAACATAATGTTTATTTCTCGCTGAAAATGGCCTTCAAAGAGATTTTCTCGACTGTCTATCTACACCATATCACACATAAGTAGAATGTTCCACATTTGTATGGGCTTTCGAACTCGCAGATATCCTGAAGATCATTCAGTACAGCTCACAGCTCTACCCTTCTCGAGGCCTCAAACTCTCCGCTTTCTTAGCTAGACGCCAGCGAACTGTGCAGGCTATTTCGTGCAAATATTTCAAGATCACTCAGACCTGCATGTCGCCACAGAACCGTCACACGAGACCTGCCACCTCCTTGGCTATGCAGCATTCCATGCAAAATATTATCATACGCGCGTTTTCATCGAGCTATTCATCTCTGGCGTACGTCAGTCCGACACCTGGCATCCCCGATCTTAAATTGGCCTTGATTTCAGGTGACGCGTTTTAAGCAAGTTTCGAAAGCAAATCACGTTTCGCGCTACATGATACAGGAAGCCGGGCAGTAGTATTACGGAAATAACACCGAGAATCGAATGACTTAACATGACGCTATAACCGAGCATGAGAAAGCAAGCAAACATCTTAAACTCATGGATAGCTGTGCAAAAATACCACGAGAAACGACCAAAACTCAAACACATAACAATATTTCTGTCAGCAAACACCTCCACAGCCGCCACTCTCATTTCTCGGGGAGTTTGAAGTTTTGCAAGTAAATCCTAGGGTGGTAATTTCGCACGGCAAGGGTGGCAGTATCTCAACGTCGCACACGTTTCATGACGCAATAAACAATGACGCATTGAGGAGCATACCTACTAAAAAACAACTTCTCTGTCAAGAGCAAATTTTTGCACTTAAAAGTATGGTGGTGGTTATAAGTTAGCTTAGTTCATTATGTCCGATGCCTGGTCCAGTATCCGCAGATACAGAACACTCTTTTAAAGGGAATGTTTTACATTTAAAGATATTGAAGCAAGCATCAGACATGATGAAATAATCACTTATGCCCATAGATACGCTTTTTAAGTGGAAAAGACTGCTCTGGATAGCATAATTCTCCATTTAGTCAATATGCCTCTCAATGCGTCATGGTTTCATTACGTCATCAAGGTGGGGCACTCCCCTTATCATTTTTCCAAAACTTGAACCCTCGCCCTGAGGGGGGCGGGGGGGCTGGATACAACCCCGATAAGGTTTTTTAAGACACCTGTCTAGCATAGTGGGCAAACGCGCATAAACTTTGAGATGCGGATGGGATGTGCATGCCACATGTTTTAAAACCAAAATGCGTTATTAGTTTTGCTAGTTTTGGAGCAGCAGCGTTTTTTTAGGAACACTGTACGGCGATCTATGGCTTGGCGCGGACGGCAACCGAACATGCCGCGGAAAGCGCGTCGCCGGCCGACATAGCTACATCAACAGAGCCAAACATCATAAGATATGGCTAAAACACGCCAAAGCACTCAACATTTCACTCAAACTAAACAAAGAAGACGCCTGTTTGGGTTCTGTGCCGCCACGAGACATAATCTCGTGTGTGTGTGATATTACAAAGCTGAGAAGTGCAGTTTTTTGGAACATTTGACATTCAACCTAGTATAATGGGCCCGTTATTGAGCTAACAGCATAAATGCCACAACCAATCGTGAAATCTCTTTGACCAATTCAATGGTGCTTTCCACTAAGCTCTATCTTCATCAGCTTAGGAACGCCAGAGGGTCACATCGACCTCGTATCCGCCCGCGTTATGAAAAAAAAAATGGTCAAATCTGCCAAAATCGCTTCTGGTTTCAATAACCTACCGGCATGGGCATATTTTCCAACATTTTCAGACTCCAGGCTAGCTGCAACATGCCGCACTTGCCACTCGACAGCTTCCGCGGCACTCGGTTCACAAGCACAGGACGATGTCCATCTAGAGGCCTGCATTTAAAAAAAATATGTGGTGCGCATTCTACCAACAAGACATACCCTTGTTGTTTTTTCAACGTTGAAATGCAACACCACTGGCTGGGCTTAAATTGAATTGCCAACAGGATGATAGCTGTGTTGTGTTAACATAGGTCGTTGGATTACCAGACATTTTAATTACTTTCAAGGAATGAGAGCTCTGGTTTTCCATAGCAGCACGAGTGAATGCCACTTATTCGTATCAACTCGTCGATATGACCTGTTCGTCATAAAATTTGTTTGCGGTATAAGTGGTTATACTACGTGCTCTGTAGTGCGTTTGCGCATTGTCTGGAATTAAGGTTCTATGTATTGTTAGACTGAACATTCTGTTCTGAGCTGATGTCTTCACCAGGCATATAAGGGACTATTTAGTGATGACTTCTATTTGACTAGATTTAATCCGTTCGATCCGTGTATTGTGGAAATCTTGAAAATCCTGTCTAGCGCTTCTCCATGCTTTCGTGGAAACTCCTGATCCGGTCCAATCCAGCCCACGGATGGATCCACAATCCGCGGATTGATCCACTTCGTGAAGTACTCTAACGGGCACCGCGGAGAATTGAGCAACACACCTATAGCTTCCCAGATGCGCAGCTTTACCAGTGCACTATCGACACCCCGCATGCGGCCAATAGGCCGCGGGTCCACGCACTTCGGCACCAACCTTGTCCGATGCCCGATCTGGCAAATGACTTGTAATGAGGCCGTGAATACCCTGATCTCACTCCTGTGTGTTCAAGCATGAGCTGGTTACTTAAGTCCGGTGATGAGGGGGAGAAGCGCTACCTCCCACGGGGCGTTCTCGTGGTTATGTAAGTCCGGTGCCGGGGGAGGACTGCCGTCTCCCACGCCCGATTTTCGAACGGGGTATGTACATCCGATGTTCTCTGCTCGTGCTCGGCGCTCGTACAGTACTCCTGCTCGCTCGGAGGATGAGTGTCAGCGGTACAGTACTCCTGCTCGCTCGGAGGATGAGTGTCAGCGGTACAGTACTCGTCGCTCGGAGGATGAGTGTCAGCGGGTCCTGTTCGCTGTGCAACACAACCTTGTGGGCTAGGGTCAGCGTATAGACGTGCACTGGGCGCTGAGCGGCCAGCCAGCTCGATTGTGATGAAGAATGAAACAGTGCGCTGGTCTGGAGAGGTGTGCAGAGGACAGTTCACCCTCCGCCCTCTCCCTTGGCTGCTCCCGTGAGCTGTGGATGAGGCTAAGTTAAGAACATCACATTTATTCATCCTTATTCACTTATTTACAACATTTGTTCGGTCCTTCGTATCAGTAATTCATCATTATTTTATCACTTATCAGTCCTTAACAAAAATGATCAAATATAATATAATACAATTATAAATGTTAGTCATAATCAATAAGTGTCCTAAGAACATTTATCAGTCTTTTGCCCCGGTCGAAGGACTGATAACAATGTATAATTGTTAAACGACGCTCGTTGGTACAGAAAGCAGCGGCTGGCAGCAATTTCGTGAGGTTTGCTTTAGAATCACTGCCGAGTGGGCGGGGCTTGGAAGAATTGCAGCAGGGCTAATAAATGCCAACGATGAATAAAGAGAAAATGTGCATAGCTGGGGTATAGTTGTGTAGTAATGCGCAAAGGATAGTACAGGTTCAATCTAAGGTTCATTCAGTGCTCGCATTGCCTTGAAGAGTCAGTGCTGCATATGTGTCTGATAGTGATGTGACCTCTTAGCCTATCTTACTGCACATTCCACTCCAGCTGCATTGATGTGCCTCTCCTACCCTGGGATCAATGGATTGACGTTTAAGTTGTAAATTATGAGGCTTGGCGAGCAATAGGAGAATGTGTGTAGTTATGTTCAGTGCCAAATATCTATGATGTAGCTTTTCTGAAATGAAAGCTAGGTTTTGGGTTCTGTTATTCAGTATAGCCCATTTATAGATTCAAAGTAGCTCTTCGTCAATAATGCAAACAGAACGGCTACATGACTATACAGTTAATGCCCGTATAACAATTAACTGGCAACACTTCCACAGTGCAACGGTCACAGATTAGGGCAAGGCTCAATGCTCTATATATCTTCCTTTCTCTCTCGAGCCTTCTTCCGCTCTTACTCCCCTCTCTCCCTCTCTGGAGCTCTCTCCAGGCTTCTCTCGAGAGAGAAGACTCCTCTCTTCTCGGAGAGTCTCTCGAGGAGAAAGAGAGAGATCGAGAGCTTAGCGCGCTAGAATGCTCTAGAGAGGCTCGATAATCTCTAGCGAGAGATCTTCTCTCTCTCTCTCGCATCGCTCTCTCTCTCTACTCTCTCTCTCCTATCTCTCGCTCTCTCTCTCTCTCTCTCTCCTCTCTCTCTATCTCTCTCGCTCTCTCTCTCTCTCCTCTCTCTCTCTTCTATATTGTATATATATATATATATATCTATTCTTATCGCCACCCGATGACCGCATTCACTGTTTTCCAACTTAACTTTGCTCAAAAGGGTTGGCAGCAGTAGGATTCATTTCCACTCTTGGAGATTGCGGCGCATGCATGGGTCTACGCTTTGTGCGATACCTCGAAAGGAAGTGTCACGGGGCGCACACTTTTAATCCTTGAAATTGAAAGAGCATTGTTCAAGCTTCATTTCTATAAACATGCGCCCGAGTGGCTGGCTAGATACCCTTCGATCGGGTGGGGGTCAAGTTGACACCCCTGAGATCTCGGGACCTAAGAAAGCTAGAGACACCACATTTACAGAATGTGTTGACCTGTACGTGTGCTCACTTAGGTCAAAGTTTCAGATTCCTAGGTCATGACCTTTTGGTCAAAAAAGGTCAAACAATGTCAAGTTCTAGGTTGGTCTCCAAAGTGCCCCAGACCCTAGATAACCATTTCTAAGCAAAAGGTCACACTCTCATGAAAGGTCGGTGATCTTGTTTGACCTTTTGAAGGTCAAGGTGACCAAAATCATACCAGATTGCTTTGAGTTTTGCATTTGACTACGCGACAAAGATTACGCTAGGCAGTATCTCCATAAAACAAAATGTTGACCTGGGTCATTTTAGGTCAATGGCCTATTCTGATCTCTAAGAAGTCCATGGAAGATGTACGATGTGGTTCCTGCTATCAATAAACTCTAAATGAACACCAAAAACTATTCCATACAGCAAGCCCTAGAGTAACAAAACAAGTTAGTTTTGACCTTGATGTGACCTCTATACCTGTCCTTAAGTCAATTCAATTTGCTCATTCAACTGTTTTGTTGCCTAAGAAAGCATCTCAGAGATGTATGGTTTTGTCTAACACTCCGTTGTTGGATCAGATTGAACAATTCCATAGAAACTGCCTTCGCTGAAAACATGGTCTGACTTTGACCTGCCATAGGTCAGCGACCTTACAAGTTACATCCAAATTGGTGATGCCAAACGATTAACCATTCATTTTTCTACAGCTATGCAAAATTTGGCCTGGCTACACCGCGCCGTTCGGAAACTATACCGGAAAAGCTTTCGGGATGGGTCAACTTGACCCCCACCCGGTTGCGTGTTAACTTTTTGCACACACATACACGCACGCACGCACGCGTGCGTACGTGCGTGCGTGCGCATATGTCGTATATACGTATATGTATATATGAATATATATATATATATATATATATATATACATGTGTGTGTGTGTGTGTGTGTGTGTGTGTGTGTGTGTGTGTGTGTGTGTGTGTGTGTGTGTGTGTGTGTGTGTGTGTGTGTGTGTGTGTGTGTGTGTGAGCATGCGTGTGTGCGTGCGTTCGTGCGTGCGTGTGTGCATGTGTGGTGGGCCTGATGAAGGGCATTTTAGCATGGGAACTCAATGGCTAGTCGTAAAGTGTGCGCCGTTGCCGCCATATTTCACACAAGGCTTTGGGCCTCGACTTTTTGGAATTTTGTAGGATCTTAGTCAATGTATTTTTGGACACTTCAGAAACAGTTCTCCATTGCCCCTGAAACACAGTAAAAGAATTACATTGACATATAACATTACATGTTAACATGCCGATGAACAATCCAGAAATCGGCGAGTTTTAAGGCTAAGACCAAATGTGGATATTTCATGGGTACAGTCTGCACATGTTCGCCAGTTCCTGCTTGGACAATGTTTTAAAAGTGGTCGCGTCTGACATTACTAATCTCTTAATCCCCTTGAAATCTTATCGAAACCGGAGTGGCACCCGAAACCCCGGCGTGAGTTTGGAAACACATTCTTGGTGGCATTAAGGACAGACACAGTGTGAGAATAAAATTGTATTGCTTCCGGCCTAGAACAGTAAACCTTTGAAAACTAGAATCTATCACAGCGTTGCAAGTAGTGGACTAAACAAATCACGTGTTGTAAATATTGATATGTGTGGATGGTGTGCATACAGGTACAGCCTGCTGACATTTACCAAAACACTCGATTGTCGTTTTGGCTACGCTGTTAGACCTTTGGATGACGAAACACGCCCCAGGTAATGATGCTCATGATTTTACAAATATCGTACGATGCATGCTCCGATCACATGCAACCATAACTACACCGAAATATGTGATACTAGCGAACTGCAGTGAGATGCATGATTGACAAGATGACCATCCCACTCATATGCATTTTGATTTGAGAAAAATACAAAACACAAACATGTACAAAACAACGTTATTCTAATCCTATTGACATGTCCAAGTAACTGGTCCGAAACAGTGCCTGTATAGGCATTGCGAACAGTCAACTAATCTGGCAAAGCGCGGCAGTCATAACAATGCATTGCAAGTGCACACTGCTTGGTTGTCCAAGTACACAAACCGTTTACGTCCTGGACAAAAAAGTGCAAAGCTCACCAAAACTTTTCTGCTGACGAGTATGTGACGCAGCACATCTCGCAATTTTGGAACGAAATGGCGTGTGCGTGGACATCCTCACAGCGGACGGCACACCGTGGTGAACAGACCCGGTGACATAACCGCAGCTCGTGATCAGAAGTGTGTGCTCAACCCTATTCCCTGTTGAGAATGGCAGATTTCGTCCTCGTCAATGTCCTCGCTCCATGTCTAAGCCACTAGCCAGTCTCTCGGACTTTTGTGACTTTTCACAGAACTAGTATACACCTGTTGTCAACTTAATAAATGGGCTCGGCAGGGGCGGGTTCAGGCCGGTATTTTGGGGAGTAAATCCGTCGTGCATGACGTTCAACAGGAGCTTACATGTCCACCACAGTTCCTTTGTATTTTTGGGTAGACTAAACGATGCATATCCAATAAGTCACATGCACGACAAGCAATGGACATGCACAGAACGTTTCTGGCAGGGACGCCCACAGCTACTGAAATGGGAACGCACTGGTCGCTGGTGCACTGGCTACATTTCTGCCCTGCACCTACTGCCAGCAAAGTTTCCTTGATACGCGCAATGTGTCAGATTTTCAACACAAAAAACTCACCGCAGGCGGTTTTGCCTTCCGCACCACAAAAAAGTCACTGCCAGCAAAAGCTTGAGGTATATTTCCATCCAATCTGGGCAAAATAAATGGGAAACGAATCTAGCCGTATACTTATCTAATCGTGTCCATGCATCATAAAAATCCACCCGCTGGCAGCTTTACCAATGGTTGTACCTTTTATTTTTAGTGGTAAGAGCCATCTCTACGAATAACATGAGTAATTTCGCCTCTGTTCATTCCAGAGTGTAATAAATATGGCGTGCATTGGGAGAACCATTGCATAATAGGCATTGTACTCATACTGGCCGAGTTCACCATTCCTCAGACCATTACATCTACCAAACACAAAACGAGGAAGTATAAATGCATGACTATTGCCTGCAGTATGTGAAAAACCCTCAGTAATGTGCTGCAAAGATCGTTTGAGATCTTTCGTTGATTCGCCAAATGGCGAGTTTGCGAAAAAATGAAGGCAATGTCTCTAGATGCGTTTCAAACCGGACCGCGTTTACCTCACGCAAACTGATTATGGGACACGGACAGAGCAGCCATCCAAAAAGCATACCAAATTCCGCAGTGTTTCTGTTTAATTCTGGCGCCCTATCAAAAACTTTTCGAATAAGAGGTGCCTAAAAACAAAGGTCTTGATGGGACAAATCTACGTGCGTTTGTTCAGTCCAACCGGATCAGCGGTTGTCAAGATAGGGGGAGGGGGAGAAGGAATATGTGGCAAAATCCACTTTCCGCGCAGACTAACATAAATCTCACACCTCACAGGGAATAGGGTTAAATATTTAACACCAAAAAAGAAAGCGGGAGACACTGTTCGCGTCGCAGACCCCACTGCTTTCTTCCCACGCGAGCACAGCTGAGCAGGCAGCGGCGACGGCAGCCTACACCACGAAGAGGTCCTCCTCCTTCGGATCGTCGGCCGGCAGCGGGCCGTGCCGCACCCTGATTCGCTGGCACATCGCACCGCACACGTCGAAGCACGGCGCCAGTACGGCCTGCGCGCAAATGCGGTTTACGGCGCGGATGAAGTTGCAGTTGATCTTGCACTGGCGCAGGCACGGCGTGTTGCACCAGATGTGCTGCAACAGATGGACGCGGCGTCAGCGCCAGTTGAGCGTCGTTCTTTGCCGGCCGTCGTGGCCCGGAGGCGGGAGGAAGCGCAAGCTGACCCCCTCCGGCTCGGGGTCGCCGGCCGCCGCTTGTCGCCCCCGGCCGACCGCCACCCAGAGCTGAGCAATGTTAGAGCGCAATAACCCGACGGCGCGCTTCCTGTTCCCCGCCCGTCCCGCCCGAATATGGCGCAGCGGCGGCAGATACGCCTGCTCCCTCCGCTCCCTCCTCTGCCCATCCCGTCCGCGGCCGCCAAATAAGGCCCGGCTGGCGCCGCGCGAACGGAAAAGGTGCGTCGGTTAACGATCCCCGGTCGTGGAGAGGCAATTGCGTATGAGCAGCCAGATCAGAAGGATGTCCTGCAAGGATTGGCCTCGTAAATCTGAACAAATGACGGCTTGGCTTGACAGGTGCGGTAATTTTCAGGGTGTGTTCGGCATGTAATTACAGTAGCATGTATTACCGGTTGCTGGAGGAAGGTGGGGTGAGCAAAGGCGAGGTAGCGGTTATCAATGCCAGCAAAAACCGCTCCCCTAAAAAATAATTCTGCGATGCTCCTACGAAGATGACCTGTTACATAACCAAGCAGGATGCAGACTTAGGTCGTTTTTGTGGTTTGATACCGAACGAATCAGGTCGTTCGGACAAAAACGGGCATACAAAACATAACGGACTTCTCTCCAGACAACGTGCGCAGCCATCGGTCTCCCAAAGCGCACTGGTGAGCTGCTGCAACGACAACCAGCCAAACGTATGGTACTAAGAAATGCGCATTTTGAAGGGGTCTTTGAAACTGTTTCGACTGAAACGTTTAATATGCGTTTTTTCAGAGTATTTTTGTCAGGCAGCGTAGAACGTTCTGTGTGCTTTCCCAAGAATCCTCCTGTTTGGAATCTGAAAGGTGTGTGAAAGAAAATGTAACATTAGCGTCTGTCAGTTTCAACTGTAGTACGAAGATCAATCAATGTCAACGTATGCAAGACGTAGCGTACTGGTACCAGTCAAGCAGCTTGAGGATATTTTCACAGACGTAGAGTCGTACAATCCCGCAGTAAAAAAGAAACAAATACAGCGCTAATCGGTAGGTGCGGGCCGCTCACCAAACCAATTAGCTGAACTTCTCACCTACCTGTTTCAATGCACTCACACAAGCCAGCATTTACAGGTGCTAACAAAGTCCATCATTACCAGGCTAGGCGCGGCTAGAATATTGCTAGCACTGATTTAGTAACGGCAGCCGCACCGGCGGGTGAGGCGTCAAAATCTTGGATCTCTAGTGCCCACCGAATGCATTTTAATGCCCAAGGCGTTGACTCGGAATTGTTGTCGAAACCTCACATTCCGGATGATCACCGCCAAGGTCGCACGTAGGACGCTCGCCCACCCTCCCTCCCTCCCCCCCCCCCCCCCCCCCCCGTCCACATGTCGCCTTCGTCGTCGTCGGCGGTGCGCACGGTCCTCTGGGACCAACCTGGAACGCCAGGCAGGCGAACTGGCAGCCGAGGCAGCAGGCCATCCACGGTCCCAGGATACAGGACAGCAGTCGATAGCAGCAGTGCTTGGTGCCGCGGAAACACTTGTAGGAGGTGCGCCAGGTGCAGTCTCGACTGCGGATGCCCTCCGGCTCACCGATGACGTCATCCCACATGACCTGCGCGCGGCAGACATCGCGTTATGCGGCGCCGGCGGCGCGGCCCGCTCCAGATGGTATCTCCTACCGGGAGCTTACGTAACGCTTGTTTTGATTTTAGCCGGTGTGTTTGTTTTGGTTAGGGCGCAGGTTTCGCACGGCGGGTATGAGTGCCTCCTCCAGACCGCGAGACGGTACGGCAGCTTCGTCAGGTAACGGACTGACAAAGTCCTGAATCAGCCTGTCAAACGCTGATCAACAACCAGAACAACACACCGGCAAAATACATGCCATTCAAACTTTTCCACTTGATTTTGTGTGACAATTCATCCTAGAAGTTCAGCCAGACATGTTTTTCCAGTTGTTTTCAAATGACAATTTGAGTGACCTACTACCACTTTGACCATTCAGCTAGGGACATGCAACACATAGATATGTCAGAAGTCCACCACACAAAACAGATGCCCTCGATAGGTATGGACTGTGGTCACTGACAGCGAACGCGCTAAAGGTCAGGTGACGTCAAAGGGCAGGACGGACCATCCAAGCATGATGGCACGTAAACCTTCGTCACCAAATTCTGATGTTGGCCAGGAATTGCACGATCTGGTGGCATGTGTCAGGGCTCACACAACAAGCACTGCCTGGCTTGAGCTCTGACCGAAAATTCATCCATTCAAATAGGTTCCAAGATTCTTTTCGGGTGCAAGGGAACAACACGAGGCTAACTTTCTGTAGAAATAATCGATCTCCGAGCAGTACAGTAATACATAGTACCCGTCATATTGCACTGCCATAGGCAACGTGGATAAATGTGCAAAGCAGCGTAGTGTTCGCTACACGTCTACAACATATGCTACGATCATATGCAATGTCAATGCTGCATATGCAGTGAAAACTGAGCGCGTGAAAACGTATGTGCAATGACAGCATGGATCAATTCATTGAAAATTGTGATCGAACACGTTTATGCTACAGGCTGTATCCGCAAACGTAGCCGTACATATCGACTACCACTTGAGGTAGCGTACTTGCTGCTTATCATACATGCCATCCTGAGTGACTGAAATATTTGACTGCTGGCGAAATTCATCGACACAAATAACCCGGTTCAGCGATTGCATATGAGGAACGTTGCACGATAATAATGCCTAATGATTATGGCGAAGTGACCAAACCACCGTAAATTAATAATGGCCAAGGGGGACCCATGCCATAATAAATGCATGACTCCGCACACACGATCATCAGCTGAAAGTCCGGCTTCCGGAACACGAACGCTAACACTGCCGGCAACCTGCACGACCACGGTGCCGGCAACCTACAAGTAGAGCTATGAATGTCCCGAGGCTTCAGACACCAGTCAAGACTTTGGGCACCGCCAGACGATTGTTTATAATCCTTTACAGGAAACAAAGTGTGATGACGAGCCGGAAGTGCATTAAAGTTGCTGTCTTCGCGCGCAGTGCTCGTAACGGCCGTCAGCGGTGCGTCTCGAGGACCGGTGGGCCTCACCTGCAGGTGGAGGTTGAGGTTGTTCGGGTCCCGCGTCTCCATGTCGAAGCCCGGGGTGTTGTCCATCGTTCCCATTGACCGTTCCGCGACGTCGAAGATGCGGCTCCCTGCCGAATACACGCAACAGTGGCTCGGTGATGGGCTGCCAGTCCTCTGAGCAGCTGCATGGCGCTCACAAGAAAAGATTGAGCGTCGCCGCCGATCACGCCGGCGGCGATGACACGGATCAGGTGCATCAGGTACGTACCGGACAGGCCGGGGCTCAGTGGTCACGCTATCATCCTTGTCTGGTGCACCGTCAAGGCAATGCCGACGAAGAGGCGCAGGGAAAGTTTGAGCCTCCGTAAAGACCCGGCCGCGGCCGAGGCATTTCGCCAACCGCAAAGAGGGGGTTAAAAGTACCACACCCCCCCCCCCCCCCAACCTATAGGAATCGAAGTTACTCGACAATTGAATCGTGGGATCTGAGAAATGCAAACGGCCATCCATAACCCCATCGACCCCAGTCATCGAGCTCCGGGAAAGCGAACCCCGTTCCTCTGGTTTCCCAGACGCGCAGCTTAATTGCTGCGCCATCGGCACCCAGTGCAACCAGGCTCAGTATCTGACCAGTGCTCCGCATACTATATGTGCTGCCGCGCGCGACTTTGTGCAACAAATATCGACGCCACGAATCATCCACTAAGCAAGAAATGTCACGTTAAAAAAGCACTGCCGGATACAACGCGGTATCAAAACCGTCGTGGTAAAATTTAAATCACCACCGTGTGCACGGCTCATTTCCAACAAATCCAATCCCTTGATTTAAGTATTTAGCCCATTTCGCTGATAGAACAAAAAACAAAGGACTAAGCCACAGGTATGCGACGCCCAAATGGCACCGACTGACTGCACTGGCTCACCACCCAGCAGTATGAAGGGAATGTTCCACATTTGGAGCTATTAAAGCAAGCATTAGATATCAATCTCTAATAAAAAACAAAATAGCCTACTTATAACAATATGCTAACTTGTAGGCGGAAAAGACTGTTCAAGACTATAACATTTATATGTTCAGTAAACGTGCTCTTTATACGCCGTTGTTTGATTGCGCCATGGAGCGAGCATTTGTGTGACGACGTGCCGCCAAACCGGTCGTGCAAAATTACAACCCTAGCACAAACTTGTAGTGCTTTAATCTCCCACCAGGTGGCTTTGCCGGTGCTGGAGGTGTTTGCTAAACGAAACATTGTTATATGCCCGTGTTTTGGCTCTTTCTCGTGGTGCTCTCGCATATTTATTCGTTAGTTACGGCGTTTACCAGTGTTCACATGTTCCGTTATGACGCTATTCTTATGTTATGCAATTACAACTCTCACTTTCGTAATAACTAGGACACATGTCAAACCCTTTTTGTTTTATGTCCCAAAAGACGTGGTTCGTGATCGAAACGTCTACAGCCTACGCAGGCCAACCGATGGCCGTTATATTTGGGAATCGTGGTCACGAAGGTCAGATATGAATGGCTAAACGATTATATTCTTCTCGGTGTTTAACGCCGCATGACAAATGTGGTGGCAGGATTAGAATGATGTTCTATGGAGTCTAGATGGCGTAATGACCTTGAAATAGGCAGCATGAAATAGTCTGCACGTCTTCGCGGTTGGCATCCCCCAGAAAATAGAGGACTTCAGGTCTGCAGAAGGGCGGGGCTCTGAACTGCACCGAATAATCTTCAAGGTGGCTTTTTTCAGCTCAGAACCGTTTACAAAGGTGGAATATTCCCTTTAGGCTAACTGGAGATAGCTGTAAACGCTACGCTAAAGGGAGTGTTCCACTTCGATGATATTGAAGCAAACACCATATGATGAAACAATAATACTCTCCCCGATATACCTCTCCCCATTTTCGCGGGCGTGTAGTTCAGGACCTAGCGAGGCTTAGGTCCGTCCGCTTAGGTTTTGTCCGTCCCGGTGGCTCAGCTGGTTAGAGCGCCTGCCTCCCGATTCACCCACCCGTGGCGGGGTGGGTTCGAGTCGCTTTAAGCGCTCGCTATTTGTCCTTGACAGGTATGGCCGTCGGCCGGTGGCAGCGGTCGCACTAAAGGTCAGTTGACGTCAGAGGGCAGGACGGACTGTGCCGAGCATTGCGGCACGTTAAGCTTTCGCCACTAAATTCTGCCGTTGCCTGGAATTGCGCGATCGGATGGTAGGGGTCAGGGCTCACACAACAAGCACTGTTTAGCGTGAGCGCTGATCCCAGAAATCCATCCATTCAAAGGGTTCGGGATCAAATTTCTAAAAAAAGGGCCGGATTGCGAACAGCGCCGAAAGGTCTTGTAGATGACTGTTTCAGTCGAGAACCCCCAAAAAATGTGGAATACTTGCTTTAAAAGGCGGCCAACATTAGTCCGCTCAACTTTTTCATTTTTGCTGGGAACAGATGTGCAACAGCATTTAAATCACTTGCATCACTGAGCTATGCACATATTGGCGAGGAATACATTGTGAAGGGTGAGGGGAGAAGACCAATGCAAGCGCACATACTATTTACACAATGTTTATTGTCAAAAGGAACCCGCTACCATGCACGCAAGCACGGTATTCTAATGACGTGTGTTTTGTGATCGTTTCATGTTGGAACAAACTCCCAATATTGCAACAGTGGCGATTATGACAATGGCAAATATGGGAAAATCTGGCGCTTCACAGCTTAGGAAAACAATCGCAAGTACTTACGTTATCTAAACGGCTGAGTTGAAAGCGCACATCGGGTTGCATGTGCACACATCTGAAACGGCTTAACTATAGCTTTATGTACGAAGCCAAGGACCTGGTTTCGCTGCAGACTCACGGTAACCTTGCCCGAGTAGATGTGTGCTATTTAAGGACATGTTTGGTAGAAAGTTAACATCCAAACCTGAAATAGCTTAACTTCATTCCGAGCTTCGGTTTCTGTTTTTAAACACTTGCCAAACACCCGGGATCGGTCGGGCGCGCTCATGCATCGGCAACGTGGTGGACGTTGAGCTATAGTGCGTGGAGAGGTGCAAACATATTTACTTCGCATTGCAGGTGTCACCAGGTTTGTGACCAAGAGTAATTTGCGTCACCAGAGCGCCATACCGTACTGAAGCAAACACTTCAGTGCACTTTTGTGGTTTCAGAACTGGAACGTCCCAGATAAAAATTTATAAGAAGACCAATACTATGTGTGAGCAGACGCTGGCAAACCGCCTTTTGAACGTCATATCATTCTGGCGATGTCACACTCTAGTGGGGAACGGTTGTTGGCCCACTTAGGTACCTTAACGATAATCTATGGCCCGATAGCGACCATGGTAAGGTTTGGATCAATACATGCCCCAAGCTATACGATTTAAGCTCGTTGCATAAACTTGACTACGTTCGACAACGCACGTAGCTAGGCTGTACTCAATATTCATGAGGCTGCACGAAGAAAAGGCGCAAGGCCATCTCAGTGACAGCGGCAGAGAATGCTTTCATTCCACTAGAGACTAAACATAGAACAGATTCACTACAATCAGATATGCCCTCTTCATGTAACATTGGCCAGGCGCATGGATCTCTTTGCAACGGAATGCACTTTGCCGGGGCTTGTATGCTCTGGGAGTCGGGCAGACGTCATTGCCAGTGGCAGGCAAACAAGATAGTTTCGTAATAGTTGCACAAATGCAAATAGTTGTAGGTGATGTTTCTGGACACATAAATTTAGCAGTCATTGTTGTGCACCATATGTGCAGCGCGGTTTAAAATCAGGATACTCAGTTAACTTGCGCTTTGTTCTTGCTATACACCTCATTGAAATCGCAACGTGGAGCGAGAGCAGTTGGCGAAGCATGGTTAGTGAATTTGATCTCCAGTTTAACGTAAGAGTTACATTACATTGCGTATGACATATAGAACATATCACGTGTACGGCCTCGGCAGTCCGAACAGAGCAGCGTTTCACAGGGAAAATCAAACCCGACATGGGCAATAGAAGGGGGGGGGGCACAGAAACACACACACTCCCCTCATAGGTCCTGAGGGTTCCGAAGAGTCCTTCGGGAGCCTTCCCCCCTCTGTCTCTCTGCCTCGAAGGACCCTTCGGACCCGATAATCAAAGGCCTTATTTGAGGGCCGGAAGGGCTTGCCGGTGGTCGTATAGGGAGGCTCGGTCTACAGGGCCGGGCTCTCAGATACCATTAAAAGAGCCATCTGCTCTCATTGGGGGCCCCTGAGTTGATGAGGGCCTCTATACCGGTCAGGTATCACCAGTATCGAACAGTGCGTTCTGTGTCGGTCCGGAGCCATGAGATAATTTCCCAAGCAGGGACCGAGCCGGGGCCCGAGATTCACATTGGTCCGGCTCCTTAATCAATAAGAAGTCCCCTGTGTCAGCCGGGAGTCGATTTTGAGTAGGCCCGACGGGCCCCTCAGGATCAGAGATCAATGGTTTGACTGGAACACTGACGGGCCCCAAGGGCTCAAAGGGCTGCTTGTTTGTCACATTAAGGACCCCGCCCGTAGTGCCGTGGCTTCAAATGTCAGTCAAAGTGCATTTGCATCCATTGGAGACCCCTGACGCAATGCGGGCCCTATATTGGCCCGGGACCACCAACACCGACCAGCGGGCTGCGTGCCAGTCTGAGTCCTAGAGGCCCATTTCCTAAGCAGGGGCGAGGTCGGGGCCCGCGATTTGCATTGGTCCCCTGCAATAGTGAAAGGCGCTTGTGTTAGTCAGGGGACCATAGGGCCTAATAAGGGGTCCTGTGTCGGTAAGGGGTTGACCAGGGGGCATTTCCTGAACAGACACAAGGATGGGACCCCAAGTGCCAGAGGAACACTTGCGATGGTCGGGCATCTCTGACGATGAAAGGAGATACCGGAACTTATGATGAGTGTCTGCAATGAGACAATGCAAGGGTCCTGTGTCAGTCAGGGCCAGAGTATCTAAAAGAGAGCCCTCCCCCCCCCCCCCCCATTTCAGCTAGAGGCCCGTCGCTTCAAAACTGAGTCCCTGTACCCGGTATTGAACCCTCACGACGATAACAAATCTTGTTGTGTCCATGAGGGCTGCTGCGTCAATCTGGAGCTAAATGCCCGGGTCAGAGAGCTTCCCGCGT